GGAAAATGGGTGATGGCATTGAGAAGGGCACTTGCTGGGATGAGCACTAGGGTTGTATGTAAGCAATGAGTCATGGGAATATATCCCCCAAACCAAAAGCACACTGTATACACTGTGTGTTAGCCAACTTGACAATAAATTATATTAATAAATAAATAAAACCTAGATCTCTTCCAAAAGTAAGCTGTTTTTTTATGAGAACTCAACTCAAAATCAAGAAGCACATCAGATATAAACATATAGCAGAATTAGAATTAATTTATTTATTCATACAAACCTAAGTCAGATTTAAGGATACTTTTAAGATTACCTAAAATATATGTTACATTAAATATAAGTAAGGAATTTATTTTAAGTTTTGTTAGTTCAACAAATATTGGCTGAGAATTTCCTTTAGGCATTACACTTCCAAACATAATGTAAAAGATGAGAAATTATTCAAGTGGATGTAAAGTACTCACCAAAACAAATGAGTCATCAGTTAGAAAGCATTATTGGTAGTGTTATAGGGCTAGGTCTATAATACTCTTTTAAAAGAGGATATGGCGGGGCGCCTGGGTGGCTTAGTCAGTTGGGCGTCTGACTTTCACTTAGGTCATGATCTCGTGGTTCGTGGGTTCGAGCCCCGCGTCGGGCTCTGTGCTGACTGCCAGCTCAGAGCCTGGAGCCTGTTTCAGTCTGTGACTCCCTCTCTCTCTGACCCTCCCCTGCTCACGCTGTCTCTCTCTCCTAGAAATAAATAAAAATATTTTTTAAAAAATAAAATAAAAGAGGATATGGTGGGAAACTAGAATTTAAAGGTTTCACTATAAGTAGAGATCAAAAAATTAAACACAAAAATATTCCAAAGTCTAAAGCAGTGGATCTCAACCAGGTATGACTTGGTAATATCTGGAAATATTTTGGGTTGTCACAACTGGGGAGGTGCTACTGGCCTTCAGGGGGTCAAGGCCAGGGATACTGTTCAATATCCAACATTGCACCGAACAGCCCGCCATAACAAAGAATTAGCTGGCCTAAAATGTCAGTAGTGCTAAGGGTGAGAAACCCAGACTTGAAGTAATTTAAGTGATTTAATGTGGTTTAATAAGTATTAATTTCTTCTCTGAAAGACATGGTGACATATAGGTATATTTTCATAAATATGAAAAATGATATACATGGAACAGAGATTATATACTTTACATGAAATTGTGACATCACTGTGTATTTATAATTATAAAAATATTAATGATAGGATGCCTGGGTGGCTCAGTCAGTTAAGCATTAGACTCATTTCAGCTCAGGTCATGATCTCACAATTCGTGAGACTGAGCCCACAGTCTGGCTTTGCGCTGACAGCACAGAGGCTACTTGGGATTCTCTCTCTCTCTCTCTTTCTCTGCCCCTCCCCTATTCATGAGGGTCCCCACTCTCTCTCTCTCTCCCTCTCTCCCTCAAAACTAAACTTTTTAAAAAACTTCTATTTTATCAATAACAGGTTTACTAGTCATCTTGATGAAGGCTTTAGGCAAGATAATTTCATAAGAAGGTATGATTTTATAAAAATTACTCCTAACACAGTTGGAGAGTGACCAGGCAGGAGAAAGAGATACTAATTAGGTCTCAGATTCAAGGTGATAAGAATCTAGAATAACACAGTCATCCAATGGGGGCAGGAGAAGGAGGAGATGGATGAAGAGATGTTAAGAAGAATCAGTAGAACCAGAGTTAGAAGTGGTAGTCACAAGAAGAACCACAGTCAGAGCATTAGAATGTAAGAAAATTGCCTTTAATGCCAAAAAATTGAGATTAGTTATATATATATATATATATAACACAATACAAACTGAAACTAATAATTTAACTTTTCTTAATTTTATTTTAATAAAACAGATTACAGAATACTTTAAAATACTGGTGTCAATCTTCAGGGTCCCATCCAACATGTTAAGGAGCTTAGAAGTCATCACCACCGTCCTCACAATTAACTAGCCTGAAAATCCACAACTCTTCTTGGACATTTCAAAGAATGTGGTAACAGGGCAAACTGCTGCCCCTAGAGCTGGAGAAACAGACAGTTACAGAGAATCACACCTTACCAGGAGCAGAAGCCAGAAGCTGGAGCTAATTTCAGTAGAAATACTTTAAGTTGTAATTGGTGACTTCTTCCAGGTTCAGTGTAGACCAGCTTGAGAGTTAAAAGCTACAAAGGGCCCTGTCTTTGGGGTTTGGGGTGCCCACATTCTTGCGTTTTACTTCCAGGATCTCCACCAGGTTCTCACTGCAAAGGTCAGAGAAAAATCCCTTCCTGCTTCTAGTAGGGGGAATGGTAAAGCAACCATTTTGGAATATACCTGGAGTTCTTTCTCTTCTTCCTAACAAGGCCTGCCCTCTAGAGAAACTATTTACCAGAGACTAATGGACTGGAGTTTTACTAAAGCCTAAACTATCTGGGAGAAGGGACATACTCAACTTAGTCTCACTAAAAGGCTGCCTTCTAACCATCAGAATGTAAAACACTTCCCTTCCTCCCACACTTTACCACATCAATAGGGTTCTGGTGTAATAACTGTGATTGCAGCCAAAAAAACTGCAAGCCTTGGATCCTATTAAGGAGTCTCTAGGGAAACCTAGAGGACAATTAACAAGGACATACAGGAAATTTCAGCCTCTAACACAATAGCCACAGCAAACAGTAAATATAGCCTAATTCCTAGCCAGATAAACATAAAACCTCACACTAAATGCCCATGTAACCTCAGTTCCATTTATCATATCTTGCTTTAAAAAAAAATAATACAAAGCATGCTAAAAGGCAAGAAAAAAAGGTTTGAGAACATTAAAGCAAGCACAAGAACCAGACTCAGATATGGCAGAGATTTTGGAATTATCAGACCAGAAATTTAAAATGATCAATATGCTAAGAGATCAAATAAAAAAAAGTGCCTAACACACAGACTAGATGGGTCACATAAGCAGAGAGATAGAAGTTCTAAGAAAAAATCAAAAGGAAATGCTAGAAACTGAAAACATTGCAATAGATATGAAGAATGCCTTTTATGGGCTTACCAACAGACTAGACACAGCTAAGGAAAGAATCAGTGAGCTTGAAGAAAGGTCAATAGAAAATTCCAAAACTGAAGGCAAAGAGAAAAAAAATGTAAAAGAACAGAATATCCAAGAACTTTGGGACAGTTACAAAAGGTATAATGTGTGCAATGGAAATACCAGAAGGAGAACAAAGATGAAGAAACAGAAGAAATATTTAAAGGAATAATGCCAGATTTTTCCAAAATGACAGACACCAAAGCACTGATCTAGGAAGCTCAGAGAACACAAGCAGGGCACATGCCATATAATGTTCACCTAGACACACCATATATAAATGGCAGAAAATCACAGAGAGAGTCTTAAAAGAAGCCAGAGGAACAAAATAAGAATTATATTTGACTTCTCTTCAGAAAACATGCAAGCAAAAAGAGAGTAGAGCAAAATATATGAAGGGTTGCAAGAATAAAGCCATTAACCTAGAATTCTGTATACAGTGAAATGACCCTTCAAAAGTGAAGGGAAAATAAAGACTTCCTAAGGCACATAAATATGGAGAGAATCTATCTCCAGTAGACCTGCCTTGCAAGAAATGATAAAAGAAGCTCTTCTGAGAGAAGGAAAATAATAAAGGTCAGAAACTTTGATCAACAGAAAGAAGGGAAGAGCATTAGAGAAGGAATAAGTGAAAACAAAATAATATTTTATCTTATTCTCAATTGACTTAACAGAAACAGTTTAAAATAATAATAGCAAGAACACATTCTGCGATTATAGCTCATGAGTAAGTGAAATAGTTGGCAGCAAAGTCATAAAGGGCAGGAGAGAGGAGGTGGACATGAGCTACTGAACTACCCATGAAGTGGGACAGAGTTACTTGAAAGCAGGCTTTTATTAGTTGTAAATGTATATTTTGCAACATATCATAAAACTTATAAAGGAAGTGTAATTGATATGCTAAGAGAGGAGAGAAAATGGAGTCACATAAAATGCTCAATTAAAACCAAGGGAAGGGGCACCTGGGTGTCTCAGTCGGTTAAGCATCTGACTTTGGCTCAGGTCATGATCTTGCGGTTCATGAGTTCCAGCCCCGCACGGGCTCTGCACTGACAGCTCAGAGAGCCTGGAGCCTGTTTCAGACTCTCTGTCTCCCTCTCTCTCTGCCTCTCCCGTGCTTGTGCTCTCTCTCTTCCAAAAATAAATAAAACATTTTAAAAAATTTTTTAAAGAGAGAGAGAGAAGGCAGAAAAAGAGAAAATCACTGAAAAGAAAAAGAAAAGAGAAAAAAGAAAAGAAAAGAAAAGAGTAAGTGCAATGCCCAGGGAACAGTTACAAACTTCACAGCCACTATGGGATGTGAAGCAGGGTGGAAACAGAGGAAACCACAGGGTTCCAATGCTGTAACAGTGCCCAAACCACTGCTTTAGAGGAACAATTTTTCTGAAGCCTCCTGATGCTTTCCTCCTTTACAACGTGTGACTCTTCAAGAACCAGGAGTAGTAATTCCTACTTTGAAAATACTTTCAGGGACTGTGTGAGAGTAGAAGTCCAATGCTTCCAATCCAGGAATCCAGGTCATTGTCTTTGGAGCTTCTGAGTCCTGAGGCCTATAGCTGGTGAAGTTTCCCTCTCTCAGGTCATTTCTGACACCTCCTTTTCCTCTGGGGAAGAGGTCAGGAAGCTGTATGCCCGGGCTCTCTCTGATGTAAGTGTAACTCCAGTTAATATGAGGGATTTTACCTTTTAAAGCTCTTCTCTTTTACCCTAAAAGTTCATCTCAAAGAGTGGCCCGTGGAATATCTGTATCAGTATCACCTAGGATGTCTGTTCAAGAGGGAGATTCGTGGGTTCTGCCGAAGAGCTACTGAATCAGACTCTCGGAGAGTGAGCCCAGGCATCTGTACTGCTGGCAAATGTCACAAGTGAGCCTTACGCAAACATAAATAAATGATCAACAAATGAAGTCTGCATCTGAGAACCACTGCTTTAATACATGGCTCCTTTAGAGAGTTGAGGATATGGATAAGGTTCACAAGTCACTGCACTTTATGTTTTGGGTCAATTTATTGCTAGGAATATTTGCCCCTAACCACTTGCTGAATGTGTCTGCTAACCAAATATAGTAAATGCTTAAGGAATATTTGTTGAAAGATTACTTGAGGAACATAACATGATACTTTCTTAAGTTCTGTGATTAGCAAAATGTTTTGGTTCTTCTAATGTAGATACAAGTCATTTTATTCTAAATGGGTTTTTTAAAAATTTTATGGCCATTTTTGTAATGTGTATAGAATAGCTGTCATTTTAAAACTATGAGAGTACAACATGCCAAACTTTATTTAGATGGTAGCCTTGCTCTAATGCAGGCCATCCAGAAATCACTTGGGCTTCCACATCAGTTAAATTTGGTCTAGAGAATTCCTGCAAAAGAAAAATAAATGGTTGACAACACAAGCAGCTATGAAATGTAAATCTAAAACAAACAAAAAACGTACAAAGAGTTGTAATAAGGATTTAAAAAATGAACAGATATGTCAGCAAACCCTACATGTTGGGGTGCTGTAAGGGTGGCCTAAGAGGCTGGGGAACTTGCAGAAGGGTGCAGTGACCAGGGTAAATCAAAAGAGACAAAGGATAAGCAGGCTCAGAACATAAAGGCCAGCTCATCAAACCCTCCCAAGAACCAGAAAACCAAAAACCACAAAGAAGATTTTTGGAAACAAAAAGCTAAGCAGTAAGACAGAAGATAAGAGAAACATGACTTTTACTGGGTCCTTGAGTCCATGGGGCACATGTACTCTACATTATACTACTATACCATTTGGTAAAAACATTGTTAACCTCTAACATTAGTATCCAATGAAAATCATATAATCCCATTAGCATCTGCAAGAAAGAAAGACCTGGCTTGATTTTCAGTTTTTTTTTTTTTTAGTTCCTTCTTATATTCCCAACGTGGGGAAATGGAGCTTGGAAAAACTCAGCTTGGGAAAACTTGGGAAACTGAGCTACAGACTATTCTTTCATGGTTCTTTGTGCAAGAAGAGATGGGGAATGAATAGAAGCAATAAATGATCATTCCCTAGAAGCTTTCCTTTTCAGGAGATTGTGCCACTTAGAGGGCAGGCAAGGTGCTCGCTCCTACCATCAATTTGTTAGCAGGGTGTGTGTGTGTGTGTGTGTGTGTGTGTGTGTGTGTGGTGTATGCTTTGTATGTGTGCAACCGTGTATGTGCATGGGTGTGTGTGTTAGAGGGACATGGATCGTACTGAACAACTTTCAGTCTATGACTTACCTTGTATCTAGCAGCAGCAGATTATACACCCACACGAGTACTGTCACTCTGAAAATGGGATAGAGTATTAGGTTCTCAACAGAAGAGAAAAAAAAACACAGAAAGAGAAAGAATACACACATGGATAAACACACACACACATACACACACACACACACACACACACACACACTGAAATTCTCCAAACTTGTGGATCAGAACAGCTGGGAGGGAGTCAGTCTTGCTCCCTTCCTACTCTCTTCTAAGCTGAACAGCCACATGAGAGACTGAACATTAACAAGGAAGAAAGACTGCAGAGAGACTGTCACTGAAAACTCACTCTGGATGTTGTAGGAAGATATGGTCTTTTTCAAAGATGTAGCCGAAGCAGTAGACTTAAAATTTGTAAAAGATGGTGTGGCTGTACAAAAAGAAGAGAAATAAGGAAAGCTGTGAAGTGATCATCGGCTATGTCCTCTAGAGTTATTCTGTGATAAAAGGTAACAAAGAAGTTCTGTAAGCAGAAAGCAACAATTACCTGTAAATAATTTTTTTTCTAGCTCTTCCTGAATTTTAAGAAGAATCCTTTCCTGTTCTAAGGCTTCTATGTACTTGGAGTAGCACCAGCTTGGCTAGAATAAGACAATTTTCAAAGTTAATTTTGGAAATGTTTGCCCCAGGAAATAAATTGAAGTTAGGATGGCTTATATGGACCTCTTCATTTAAACCTTTTGTTGAAGTATAACAAATTTCAGTAATGGATCATTGAATAGGACAATTCAATGATGTGTCTAGTACTATATGAGTTGTAGCTATTTCTCAGTGAATCAATGTTGCAAAGGCTTTATACAGTTTTTGACAGCTATTCATGCACCTATATATTTTTAATTTGATTATGAATTTAGGTGCTCAAGAGAGATCCAAGTTCCTTTTGAGGGGGGTAGTTTTGCATTTGGATTAATTACAGTTCTTAAATGTACCAAATCTATCTGAAACAAATGCACATACAGAGCATCTGCACTTGCAAAATGGCGGGGTATTATACTCTATCAATTGCTAGAGTAATTCAACATGTATCTCTTCAATAGCAACAACAATAATAATTTAGATTTAGGAAATGCCTTTGGTTTCCCAAAGCTTTTTAGTTTCCTACAAAACTCTTGAGATATTTGACAGGAGATCATTACCATAACAATTCCTTTTTCTCTCCCTTTCTTCTTTTAATAGACAAGGAAACAGGCTCAAAGCAAATTCAGGATTTTTTTCAGGCTCCCAGGTACTACTGACTTGGAAGTGACATTGAAAATTAGAAGCCTGTTATCTCTAAATCCTTTATTTTTATACCATGTTTCTGAAATTTAATGCCAGTCATTTGCTAATAAATGTTCTTCCCAATGGCATTATTACATATCATACACTTTTAGATATTACCTTTTTCAATACATGCTGTAACAAAATTGACATTTCCTTTCTCTCAATAATTGCTTTATGGTCTATCAGTTATCTTTGCTGAGCAGCTCAATTTATTTGACATTCCTAAATGCTGAAAAGATTGTTTCTTGAGCTAGTATTATCTTAAGATGCAAACACAAGTCATTAAAAATGGACATGACTTATGAAATTTCAGGGAAGTAATATTAATGTACAAGTTAAATGTAAATATAAACATAAAAATTGTAATTTTTTTCTTTTTTTAACCCAAGAATACATCAATAAAGTGTATTCTATCTTGTTCCCTATCTGCCTTATTCTCTTTCAATAAGCTAGTCATTTCAACTGCTGCCACTTAAATCTTCATATATATAAAAAAGTATTTTCTATGATTAAATTGTCCAGGATCAGACAAAACTTTAATATTCCCTGAAGGCTCAAGGGAATTCCCTCCCAATCTCTCCTAGAATAATTTTACCTTCATTTTCAAACAAGCACACCTCTCCTACTGTAAAATAACTCCGTTACTGCATTCTACTATCCAATGTTTTAAAAAAAAAGAAGTGCTATCTGTGACGCTTGTACTACTTACCTGTCGACTATATGCTTGTAGGCCTATAACTGGGTCAATAGGTAAAATAGCTGTTTTAATAGCAGATCCTGAACAACTTGCATATTGTTTGCTTCCATCCTGTAATTATATTAAATTAAGTTATTCCAAAAAAGGAGGGAAACTCTATTAATATAAACATACAGCTAGTGAGTCATAACATTAGATGAAAAAATACTTTGTGATGAGTACCACACCTGAGGTCTCATCAAGTCAATGTTACTAACGTGACATCATTTATGAACTCTTTAGTTTTCTTGTCTACTAATATAAAAATATTTAAAAATGAGTGACAAATTATGAAGTAGAATGTAAAAATCACCACCAAATTCTAGTATCTAGGAAAAAACCATTGTAAACCTTGTCATAAACATCCACTCATGCTTCTCATTAGGGAAAGACATAGATAGAGCTATAATTTTAGTATTTATATTTTATTACATAAATTTCATACAAATGGAATCACACAATATGTGCTCTTTTGAAATCTTCTTTTTCATGCAAAATTTTGTGAAAATGTTTCTAGTGGAAATGAAAAGGGGAGGGTGTTTGTGTCATTCACCAGTATGCCTACGATTCAATATACAGTACACCTGAATATGTGGATAATGAAATGTATAAAATGCATCATCATTTTCAATGAATGAACTGTCTTATGCACTCAAATCCTGAGTGATAAAAAAGAAATAAACTATATCATCACTTCAACAGATAAATAATAGTCCAGTAAAGTTATGTATAGCAGATAATGTAATCCATGCCTGCTACTGGAAACTTAAGCTATTAAATTTTTTTATGATTATAAATGATGCTTTGTACATATTTCAGTTGATGACAGTACTCTCCAAGAAATCCAGTCACGAATCAGGGGAAAACTATAACACAGGCACCCAAAATTAATTAAATATTCCTATATAAACATTTGTATACATGAAATAATACTCTAAGTCATAAATGCAGAAACTCAGGCCAGAAATAGACCAAAAATATAAAAAGGAACTGTAAAATGAATTTACTGAACTTAAAAGAAGACTGAAGAAAAAGACAAAAATCTTTCAAAAATGAAACTATAAGGTACCCAAGGGAGAAAAAATTTGAATAGATAGGTAAGAGATTTATACATGTATTATTTATATACCCTTTCTTTCTGATCCATATACATGCACTCACCTGGTATATAATATGTATACATATATCATATATATGTATCAAAAGGCTTAAATATACATGTATACACACACATATAATATGCATATAAATCTCCCCCCCAAAAAACATAGCAAAGATATAAGCCTATAGACTCAAGAATCTGAGCAATCCTTAAATAGAATAAACCCAAAGAAATCCACAAAAGACACATCATAATCAAATTCTGAAAACCAAAGACAAAGAAAAAATCTTGAAAGCAGTAAGTGAAAAACAATACCTTACCTACAGGGAAAGGACAGAATAAAATAACAAATCTTGGAAAATCAGGAAGGAAGAAAAATGGAAACCACAAAAGTATGTGTTAATACAATAGCCTTTTCCTCCCTCTTTGAATTTCCTAATTTATGTTTGATGGTTGAAGCAAAAATTATAAAATGTCAGAGTCTTCATTTTCTGTTTTATTCTTATGATGGCTTTATATGTATATCATCTGCCATTTTCTGCTCACTTTGAAATGTTTTATATTTTCCCCAACCATCAATAATAGGGATGTGGTCTGATGTGGTTCTCAGTATATGTTGAGGAAATATTTAAAATAACTATAAACAAGTGAGGGAAAAAGACCTAAAGTGGGGGGTGGTGATTTCTAGACTCTACTCAAACTGGTAAAATGTTAATACCAATAGACTGGAAAAAGTTATGTATCTATAATGTAATATCTAAAGCAACCACTAAAATATCTAAACAAAGATATGCCAAAATAAAATTCTAAGAAATATACAAGTAATCCACAGGAATGCAGGACAAAGGAAACAAAAAAAAGAAAAATAGAGGGAATAATCAAAACAAGAAATGGGGCGCCTGTGTGGCTCAGTCAGTTACGCGTCCAACTACAGCTCAGGTCATGATCTCACAGTTCATGAGTTCGAGCCCCGTGTCAGGCTCTGTGCTGTCAGCACAAAGGATGGAGCCTGCTTCAGATTCTGTGTTTTCCTCTCTCTGTCCCTCCCCCATTCATCCTGTCTGTCTCTCTCTCAATAAATAAATAAACAAACATTTAAAAAAAATTTTAAAAACAAGAAATAAAATGTAGGCATATCAAAAATCACACTAAAGATAAAGAGACTAAACACACCAAATAAAAGGCAGAAATTGGCAGAATAGATTTAAAAAAACATCACCATGACCCAACTGTATGCTGTTTATAGGAAACTTAACTGAAATACAATGATATAAAAAGTAAAGGAATGGAAAAAGATATACCATACAAATATCAAAATAGAGCAAGCTGGTTTTGCAGCTTTGGAGAAGTTTGGCAGTGTTTTGAGAACCGCCACAGTCCTCTACATGTATGTAGTAAACGTAGTCATTTACATTTATGACATCATATATACATAGAAAACACTTTATAAAGACCTGGAAGAATATAGCCCAAGTTTAATGATTGCTCTTGGGGATGGGGAGGGTAATAGAACTCAGAGCTGGGGTTACGAGAGTTTGCTCTTTCTACGGTATTTACTCTTTCTGCAATATTTTAAGGAGGAAAAAAAGCAAATGAGACAAAATGTTAACAGTGTTTGTTTTGACCTATGTATATACAAGTGTTCATCATATTACGATACTGTTTAAATTTCTTTTTAAAATAGAATAGGTGTCAGCTTATAAGGAAAAAAATCCATTAGCCATGAGCAGTTACCCTTTTTCAATTCAAAGAAAGTAGATAAGTATAAAGAGTTAGACAGATGAATGGGTGAATAAATGGACAAACTGACAGACAAACAGGCAGACGGGGCAATTTATGATTCATATTTATAAGTTTCACAGTCAATGTATCAGTCTGTAATTGTAATACTGAAAATGCTTCCCCACGAGTACATAACATTTTTTTCATTCATTCATTTTTGTTTTCATTCCTGATTTACTCAGTAAACACTAATAAATAGTTGAGCCTATGCTGGACACTGGTCTGAGCACTATGATACACAGACACACAAGACAAATACTATCCTTGGGAATCTCAGTCCAGTGAGGATGACAGGTGCAAAAACTCATTCATGGGACAATATGAAGTGTTCTCCAAGAGAGGTAGGAATGTTACTACCGTGGATGTTAACTGCTTGTGTTTCCTAAGAAGGGTCAAGAAAGTTTTCACATGAAGAGGTGACATTTGAGATGTATTTTGAGAAATTCAAAATGAAGTCTGAAACCTCTGACTAAAGACTTAAAAGCCACTAAAATCTGTATTCTGTAATGTCTCTGTATTTTCCCCAGTCCAAATTCTTCTATAAATTCCAACATATCACATACCTTTTAAAAGTCTGATTCAACTCAAAATGAGTCATCTTACCTTTGCAAATTTCTCTTCTTCTGTGACTGCCAATTTTTTTTTCTGTTTATTATATTCTTGTCTTCTCTCTAAAACACTCATAATTTTTTCATCAGTTAAGTTCTTCCTAAACTCACAAAACTGAGGCCAAAATTTAAATAGAACCCCAAAAATTGTCATCTGTATAAAAAACAAACTATGTCTCAGATTGCAAATTAACACAAACGTACTAATTTAAACTCTTAATTCACCATAATAATGGATTAACTATTCCATCTTTAATATACAGCATGTTTCCTCCTTCAACTTACTGTCTCCAGACATCTTGGCATAGTTTAGCTCAGCACATGCTTATCATCAATGTTTTTTACTACCAATGAGAAGTCTTTCTTTAAAAAAAAAAAACACCACATACTTAAAAGTAACTTTATTCTTTATGTTTCCCTAACCAATTGATTGTATTAATAAAGAATCCATTAGGTCTTTTTAAATAAGAAATTTATGTTTTCTTTTAAAACATACACGAGTTGATCTGCCACACACTCTGCTGTTTTATGCAAGTATTCCAAATATTCAGTCCATCAAGAGGACTGAGTCTGTGCCCCCTTTTTCTTCCTTTTAGAGAAAGGAAATACCTCTGGAAAAGCTCTTAAACAAAGCTGCAGATCTAAAAATAAACCTTGAGTAACTTTTAAGTGATATAATCTCTTTTATGTGAGAGCAAGAAAAGTAACATTTAAAAAGCAGGGTGGTATCCTGGACCAAGGCTTTCTACGAGGACACTCCACATTAAGTGATTAATTGTGATATTTATAGAGATAAGAATTGTTGCTCAAATTCCCATGCCAAGTATTTCCATTAGTTCCAGAGGCATACATTACTTCCAAGAAGGTAGGACTTGCCACATCAGATCAAGTCCAACATCTTGTTACTAGGAATGGCCTTTACCTAATGCCCTAGAGAATACTGAACTATCCCATTAGGCTCCAAGCCAACTCTTCAGAGGAAAAGAGGAATTTTTAAAAAGTAAATGCTGCAGTGATCAATAGAGTCCTCAACTGGTTGGTATGTTTCATCACTCCTCTTTTCTGTACACGAATATTATTAGCAATTCTAAAATTTTTATTCCTTTTAAAATATAATTTTATCATTGAATTCTGTAGCTTCTTGGCATTGTGATCACAAAAGCTAGAGATGCTTTCTTTGATGAAATGTAGGCTTTAAAACAAATTTCACTGACACCTGTTATATCTTTAAGTAATCTCCCGATCCAATGTCAAGGGATCATGGTAGTTTCTATGTGAACTTCTTAAACAAATACTCCTCTTCCTTCTCTATTTACCAACTATTGACCCTACTTCTCAGTTATTTATCCAAAACCTGAGTCATTCCTAGCTCTCAAATATGTTTATTTCCCTCTAGAAAATCTTCCAGTAAAAGTCATTCAATTAGAATACAATTTTTCAATGGCAGACATAAAACTACTCTACTCCTAAAAGCTGCAATTAAGATTTTAGGTTAATAACATATGGGTTAGTCATAAAAATTACTCTGTACCATGAGAATCTTAAAAGATAACCAAACTGTAGATAGCAAAATGTTGTAATAAATATAGAGCTACTTTGCTCACTGGCAAGAGATGGGCAATGGCTTTAGTATGAGTTAAAAGGGCCAGTGAAAATTTGGTTGAGTGAAGAAAGCTTTAAAGTTATCAGGGATGCTGCTGGGGGATAGGCAAAGGTTACACTGATAACAATATTAGAACAGGCAATAGGCTTTTTTATCTACTATGCAGCCATTTCACTTAACTTTGCTCGTTTCCAATTTGATTTTACTCCTTTCTGTCACAATAGATCACTTCTCATGTCAATCATCCACGTGATCAAATATGTTATTGAGTGCCTATTCTGTGCTAGGCATTTGAGCCACAGGGTAAATAAGAAACATTCCCTGCCCTCAAACACCTTACAATCAAGTGGGAAAGCCAGCATAAAAATAGTAATTTTCAGTTTTGTGTGATAAACAGAAACATATACAGGATGTTGCAGAAGCACAAGGGAGAGAAGATGATAACACAAAAACCTTAGGAGGGAAGAGAGTAAGGCTTCTTTGTAGAACTACAGATATAATCAGTAAGACTGGTGGATGAGGGCAGGGAGTGGTAAGAGATGTGCAACCAGACCTCTGGTTTGCATACCTGGATAGAAGGTGATGCTATTCCCTGAGCTTCCTTAGGAAACACAGGAGGAATAATCAGTTTGGTGGGGTGAGGGCTCTCTAGAAAGATTCTCTTATATTCTGATGCTTCAGAGTCCATATTTAAGGTATGTCTAGGACTCATTTTAGGAAATCAAGTAGAACGCATAAACTAGAGAACTCCAATACAGTTCGCTGGGTTCAATCCCTAGACATGAAGATGGTATCTCTTAGAGTTTTAATTCTGAAGACAGTGGGGAGTAACCAAAATTGAAAGCAGAGAAGTGACATGATCTGATACACATTTTGAAAAAGATGTCTCTGTCTGCAGTGAGTTAAATGGTTTTGAAAGGGCCCACAGGCAGGCAGTTTTGGTAATCAATGAAATACTGCAGATGCAAACTGAGATAATAGCATGGAGTCACAGAAAAGTAGACAGGATGACAGAAAACAAGGGGACCAATGCATAAATTTTAGGGACTGAAGACATGGAAGTAAGGGAATGAAGGAGAGGGAAGACAAAGATGGCAACCAGACCTCTGGTGTGCACACATGGGTAGAAGGTAATGCTATTCCCTGAGCTTCCTTAGCAAACACAGGAGGAATAATCAGTTTGGTGGAGTGGGGACTCTATAGAAAGATTCTCTTACTTTCTGATGCTCCAGAGTCCATATTTAAATTATGTCTAGGACTCCACTTTAGGAAATCAAGTAGAATGCATAAACTAGGGGACTCTAATACAGTTTGCTGGCTTCAGTCCCTAGACAGTATGGCAAAACCAACCAGTATAAGCAGTTCCAGACATGCACTTGCAAACTCAAGGTCTTTGATGTAGATGGGCAAGCCCTGGCCTAGTTTTTCAGAGACCTAGGCTAGGCTAAGTGATCTCTAAGATCTTTTCACAAACAGATACTGCAATTCTGGCACCATGTTTTCTCTATTTCTCTTTAGCACTTCCTCAATCATTCCTCTATATTTTCACCTATTTTAATGCATAATTTGGATTATGAGTCCATTTTCAGTTCCTCAGATGGCTTAGAACACAGCTGGCTCACAAATGAATGTTAAGAATAATGGCCTTTTTTCCATGCTCAAGGGCAATCATATCCTAAAACTCTGTTTCATATCACTTAAATCATGACATGGCCTTCCCTATTACCCCTATTATAATTTATTTTTCTTAATCATTTTTCAAGAACAACATCACTAAAAGGCTTTTAAAAATGCAAATAAATTATGTTCACCAAATCACTGTTTTCTATTATTTATGTTAAAATGAAGTAACTTGAGCAGGTTAACAGGCATGATTTTCTTTTCATGAGCTTGTGTACTTTATGTTGGTTGGATACTTAAATCTTCTCTCACTTATTTTGCGAGCTATGTGAATATTCCAATCTTTAAAAATACACAAATCTTAGGACACACATATTTTACACATATTTGTTGTAGCAGATTTTCTAAAGGAAACATAAATGATGGGAAAGGAAGGAAGAATTGGCTGAAGTTTTATAAGTTAAAAACAAAAATGATAATCATAGAAAGTCAAGGACAGTATTTAAATAATTGAATTTGCTGTATATTATCAACAAAATAGTAAGTTACTAGTTTCTTATGTTCTGTGGAATATGAAAATATTTTTAATTAAATTGAATTAATCACAGTATTAGGAAGGTTGTTACCTTGCCAAATATGAATAATGCAAAATCTTTAAAAGAATATCTAGATTGTTAACGTATTTAAAAATATGCTGATCTCTTACCTGTGCCTCCCTAAATATATATGGTCCTAACTCCTTCCTGTGTTCAATAATCTTCTGGGCTTGCTCTACTGGAATGTCAATTTGTAATGCTGGTGGAATACTAGAATTAATAAAGCAGTTGATAATAGTCATGATCTTCTTCTGAATGATGGACTCATCACAATGAGAATGGCACAAGTCCTGAACAAAGAGGAAAGACAGAACAATATATGATTAATGCATTCCTAGAACACTTTATAAAATTGTGGTAGTATATCTTTCAGTAACATTTTAACTTCAGATCGAGAGGACATGAGGACATGTGAAAGCTATCTTTCTATAAAACAATATCTTCTATTTCTCTTGGGTTTGAGGAACCTAAGACATTGATGCATACACCATACATAAATACAGGTTTTATTTACTCTTGAGTACTTCTACTTCTAGGTAAAGGAACAGCTTCAAAGTCTACTTTAACTCATTTATCAAATTTATATTGGATGCCTGCTCTATACCAGCTGAGCCCCAAGATAGTACCTGCTCTTTAATGTCTAAATCTTATTGGAGGAGAAGCAAGAGAACACATTACTTCAATATGAGATAGCTAATAAGTACTATAGTAGAGGTGTACACAGAATCGTAGGAGAACACTGAAAATGGGTATGTAACTCGATTTGCAGGTGGACATAAAAGCTTTCCAAACCAGAACTGCTTCTATACAAGGTGACTTAGGCTCAAAAACACAATATAATTGCAAATGAAATATTGGATTAAGGGTTGGTATCCAAAATCTATAAAGAACTTAACAAACTCAACACCAAAAATACAAATATTCCAGTGAAGAAATGGGCAAAAGCCATGAACAGACACTTTTCCAAAGAAGACCTCCCTCCAGATGGCTGATACATAAAAAAATGCTCAACATCACTCATCATCAGGGAACTACAAATCAAAACCACAATGAGATACCACCTCACACCTGTCAGAATGGCTAAAATTAACAACCTAAGAAACTACAGAAGTTGGCAAGGATGTGGAGAAAGGGGAACCCTTTTGCAGTGCTGGTGGCAATGCAAACTGGTGCAGCCACTCTGGAAAACAGTATGAAGTTCCTAAAAAAATTAAAAATAGAATCACCCTATGACTCAGCAATGGCACTACTAGGTATTTATCCAAAGGATACAAAACTGCTGATTCGAAGGGGCACATGCACCTCAATGCTTATAGCAGTGGTATCATCAGTAGCCAAATTATGGAAAGGGCCCAACTGTCCATCAACTAATGAATGGATAAAGAAGATATAGTATGTATATAGTATGTACACACACACACACACACACACACACAATGGAATACTACTTGGCAATCAAAAAGAATTAAATCTTGCCATTTGCAACAAGGTAGATGGAACTAGAGTGTATTATGCTAAGCTAAAGAAGTCAGAGAAAGACAAATCCCATATGATTGCACTTATATGTGGGATGTAAGAAACACAAAGATGAACATAGGGTAAGGGAAGGAAAAATAAGATAAAAACAGAGAGGGAGGAAAACCATAAGAGACTCTTTAATACAGAGAACAAATTGAAGGTTGCTGGAGGGCTGTGGGGTAGGAGAATGGGCTAAATGGGTGATGGGTATGAAAGAGGGCACTTGCTGGGATGAGCACTGGGTGTTATACGTAAGTGATGAGTTACTAAATTCTACTCCTGAAATCATTATTACACTATATGTTAACTAACTTGAATTTAAATAAAAATAAAGAAAATTAATTAATTAAAATAAATTTAAAAAATTTTAAACCAAAAAGGGCACTATAAGCATGATGTTGGCAGTGACAGGTGTGCTATTATGTATCTCTTAGTATTCATACTTTTACAGTTAACCTATTAAATTATCTTCCTTATACCCAAAGAACTCAAAAATAGGGACCATACACTTAAAAGATGCAGTCTTGGGGCGCCTGGGTGGCTCAGTCAGTTAAGCGTCCGACTTTGGCTTAGGTCATGATCTCACAGTTCATGGGTTCGAGCCCCACATTGGGCTCTGTGCTGACAGCCAGCTCATAGCCTAGAGCCTGTTTCAGATTCTATATCTCCCTCCCTCTCTAACCCTCCCCTGCTCACACTGTCTCTCTCTCTCTCTCTCTCAGGAAGAAAACAAAAGATGCAGTCTTATGTCACAGATATAGGACTATCATTTTTTAAAATAAAGAGGTAGCTTAGCTTGTGTTTATGGTGTTTCTCTGTCAAAGACACTGTTCTCTAAATCACTAGGAAGCAAACAAATTTGGAAACTTGTAATTCTAGGCCAGAAATGAGCTAACACTTATTAAGTACTCATTGTATCATGGGCACTGTAATCACTACCTTATGGGCACTATTAAAGAAAGAAGAATTTAAGTGCTAGCCATATAAAATCTTACATACAGTTTGCAATAAATTATATGTGAAAAAAGCTTGATATAAATGTTACATTAAGACAACAGCATTTTTAAATCAATTTAGAACCCCCCTCAGAAAATGCTTTATTTATACAACAAATGCTTGATGTGCTGCCAAAGGTGTATTTTTCCCATTACTAGTGAGATTATCTTATGTAATTATTTGGTGAGCCTGATTTATAATTATAGAATATAAGGCTTGTGAAATAAAAATACATTTTTGGAGTTTTCATTTTAAGGGTGAAGGGGCAAAAATCAGAATTGATTTTTTTTCTAATTGTTCTGTACCATTAGCCCAGTAAACTTTACCTATCATCAATGATACCATTTTTTTAATGTTTATTTATTTTTGAGAGAAAGAGAGAGAGAGAGAGTAGGGGAGGGGCAGAGAGAGAGGGGGAGAGAGGATCCAAAATGGGCTCTGCACTGACAGCAGTGTAAGGACTCAGTTTAAACAGAATTTCCTCTAGAAGGCTTTTGGTGACTATCAGTTCTGGAGAGATGTCCAGCTTAGATGCTTCCATTACCCCCTGAGCTTCCATCACCACTGCCCCAGTCACAGTCTTATAAGTGTCTTGTCTATCACCTTCTGTCCCTGCCATGACACTGTAAGCTCTAAGAGGGAAGACTATTCTGATGATGGTTGCATCCTCAGGATTTAGCATGGCCCTTGATAGGTGCTCAATAAATATTTGCTGGATGAATATACCCTTTCAGTTTTTTCTATGGACACACACACACACACACACACACACACACACATATACACAAACATTTTAGATTAAATTATGGTATTTTATAGTAACTAGGCTTTTAAAAAAATATCTTTTCCCATCATTAATTATTCTCCCACAGCATGATTTTTAATGGCTGCAGAGTATTCTACTGTGCAGATGTAATAATTAAGTAACCAAAGTCCTGTTTTTGAACATCTAGGTTCTTCCCAAATATTCACAATTTAAACCAGTGTTTGATTAAGATCACTGATTAATCATTGTTCTGAATTGTGAAAATCTTAAGAGATCTTAATCTCTTAGCATATTACCACCATCTTTGCTGGAGGTGGGGGATATAACTTAGTGGTTAAGGGCATGAACTTTAGCAATGGAATGCCTTGGTTCAAATTCCAGCTCTACTACTTAATTAGTTGTCACATGAAAAGAAATGAGATAATGTGTGCCAGATAGCAAACACTTAATAAGAGTAAGCTATATAAGGGGTGCCTGGGTGGCTTAGTTGGTTGAGCGTCCGACTTTCGCTTAGGTCATGATCTCGCGGTTCGTGGGTTCGAGCCCCGCGTCAGGCTCTGTGCTGACTGCCAGCTCAGAGCCTGGAGCCTGTTTCAGTCTGTGACTCCCTCTCTGACCCTCCCCTGCTCACGCTGTCTCTCTCTCTCTGTCTCCTAGAAATAAATAAACATTTAAAAAAAAAAAAAAAGAGTAAGCTATATAAGAGTGAGTTCAGTAAGATTTTGCCAGGTGGAAAGCTTTCTACCTAGCAAATTCTCTCAAGACCCAATTCAAATACTATCACTTCTGCTAAGACTTCCTTGACCCACCACCCTCCCTGCATCATTCCTTCCTCAGTGCCAAAACCATACCTAGTTAGGACATAGATCATAATCAATATTCTGTCATGTTATTTGTTTTTATGGATGTCCCCTTCCTTGAGGGAAAGCACTGAGTTGTATTCACTTATTTATTCCTACTATCTAACTTAATGGCTGGCACATTGGGTACTTAATAAATGCTTATTGAATGAACAATTCTCTCCTACAGCATGATTTTTAATAACTCTCTAGAATTGTATGTCCTCCATTCTATACCACAAAAAAAGATATTTAAATGAAGGCCAAGGGCAGCCTTGAAGGAGAAACAGTCACACAGCTAAGGGTTGACTTTGTATGAATGTGGTTTTTTTTAAAAATGCCTTACTTGCAAAGTTTATTGCATTACCTCTTATCCTAGTAGGGTTGGGCTTATTCATATTCTTATTAGCTTAAAATGAATTCTGTCCATTCACAATAACTGCCTTTTCTGGAAGACAGGTTCTACCTCCTAATTAAAAAAAATTTTTTAATATTGTTTCCCTTGTGACAGAATTTGAAAAAATTTATCTCAAAATATTTTTTCTGAGAAAATTTCTAAGGTGAGAAGAGTACAAAAACTGTTCATAACAGAAATGGGTAGAAACCAGTTTCATGGTATGTTGGAGAAAGTTTGGAGATAGACTTTATTGAGCAATTACTAACTATATAAAATATAAATGCTGAAGAATATTAGTCTTACATAATTCAGACTTAGATTATAACACCAATTGAAAGTATTATGCTCTTAAATTCCAGTTTTGTTTTTATTGTCTACTTTTATAATGGGATAAAATGGGCTACTTGCCCAGAAATTAATCTGTTACCCATGGGAGCATTTAGGCAGAGTCCAGATGTCTACTCTGAAGTATTTCTAAACAACATTCCTCTATTCAAGTCTAGATTATAATATCTAGAAAGTCCTTTCCTTTCTTCAAGGCAAAGATTCAGTATGATTTCAATAAACATTTAAACCTAAAAATAAACTATTTTAGTGCCTAACCATTCATTCTTTCATTTGTTTTTGTTTTGTTTAGAATGTAGCCATTCTTTATTTATTTTTATTTTTTATCTTTTGAGAGAGAGAGAGAGGAAGAGAGAGAGAGAGCACGCACACATAAGCAGGGGAGGGGAAGAGGAAGAGAAAGGAAGAGAACCCTAAGTAGGCTCCAAGCCCAGAGTGGAGCCTGATATGGGGCTCGATTCCATGACCATGAGAACATGACCTGAGCCAAAATCAAGATTCTGACACTCAACCAACTGAGCCATCCAAGAACTCTGTGGTCATTCTTTCTAATAGAAAAGCTCCTCTCATCTCTGTTGGTTTCTTTATCAATAATTCACTATCTTTGATTACCATTGCTGGAAATATGGTTGGGAGGAATTCTGGTAAAGAAGTCTTGGTTTAAGTACTGAATATGGATATCTTCAAGAAAAAATGTCTATAGTACATTTATAGAGAAGTAGTTTGCAAAGATGTAATTAAAACTCTTTTGAGGAAGGTTCTCAGTAAGTCAATATGTGTGAATACCTTGAAAAATCTAATTCTATCATTTCAGGGCTCACTCTTACTCTTCATCATATAATAATAAATGTATCTAACATAGAACAATAAACACCTCAATATTTACATATTGGTATGAAGATGACACAATTGGGATATCTTATACAAATCTTGTCCATAAAGTTACAGTTAAAAATCTGATGTGTTAATGTATTTCCTCCACAAAAAGAGGTGGTTTTCTCCAACTTCCAATATCATACCTTATATTTTTGTACTTCTTGCCAGAAGAGTACCCCGTTTTCCAATAAATCTCCTTTTAGAGCCACAAACCGTTGAAACTGTCTTGCAGTAACTGGATTCAATAATGCTTTACGAAAAGCCAGGATTTCACAAGATGAAGATATCCACTTACTTTCCACAGGCTGACCATAACAGAGAATACAGAAAATTAACCGTGTTCTTAAAAATAATAATAAAGTCATTTATTAGGCTAAACATTACCAACTTCAACCTCCTTTACTTTGGGCTGTTGAAATTTATGGCATGGATACAATAGAATTTGGCAACTTTTACCCTCTGTTCTCCCCTTCTCTCCTTTATATTTTTATGGCATCAGGTTTTTTGAGGTGGAGAGAAAAATAAATTGGATGATTCCAATTTGAACACAAAAGGAGTAATTAATTCTGCCTGGAGGAGCAAAAGCTTTGCAGAAGGATCTTGAGGATGACATCTGAATTGCAAACTGAAAAATAAAGTTGTTTTATTGTTTAAGGATGTTAAGGGTCATTACACTTTAGGACTAAGGTGAAAAACTAAATTTTAGTGCATTGTGTGAGTTCTGTGCTTAAACAGAAAAATATAATCATAATGTTACAATTATATATTGTTACATTATGTATTTTACAATTACATATATAGTATATGTGTATCATATATAATATATAATGCATCACATATGTAATACATGTGTTATATATATATATAACTCTCCTACCTTTTAAGGAGTAAAAAGCACTTGCACATTTAAGATATTTTTTCAAAACCTTAAAAAAATTACTAAATCCTGTGAATTTAGACAAGAAATTAATTGTGGAGCATCCATCTAGAAAAAAATAATGTTTTCAGGTGACACATCTTTATATTATTTTAATAAAAATTGTTATTAATACTTCATAACACAAATCATTAATACATTATTTTTAATAATAAACTTCTGCCTGAGGATTTACTTTACATAACAAAAAGCCAGAAAGACCCATAGTGTTTTAGTAATGCTTAAAGGTATTACTTAGTTTATATCTTCACCATAATTTTGAAATACTCTTAAAATTCTGAGCATTTTAGATCATATATCTATCCCTCTTTAGCCTCCTAGATTAAAAACATAAGACATAGATTTTGTTGAATGTACTGAATAGTAATTGTTTTACTGGGTAAGTTTTATTGAAGTTCTCTAAATCTGACTTTAGCCTACCACTATGCAAAGAAGCATCATTCCAACAAGGTTTTAAATAAATTTAGAAATCATAATAACAATCAGTCAAAGCACCATGATAAATATATCCAATACTGACAAGGCATAAAATAAGTTTCTTGAAACAAATCATAGGCGCCCATCAGTGTGTTTAAGAGAGTTATGTGAAAACCACTATGGGAACACAAAAGGAGTAATTAATTCTGCCCGGAGGAGCAAAAGCTTTGCAGAAGGATCCTGAGGATGACATCTGAATTGGAAACTGAAAAATAAAGGCAACACCAGGCAGTCTAGAATAGCAGTGCCTTAACCCAGATAGAGCGATTAGATGTCTAACACTGTTTTAGTGAGGCACACGTCGTGTTCTCTGGTCAAAAAGTTAAGGCCCTCAGCATATGTTCCGTATTAAAATTACAGCCCTATAAATAGGAACAATTATGTATTAGACTGGGTTGTTTATTTAAAACCCACTCAGCAAATAATGTTTTAAGACCTGCCTCTTAAGATACTAAAACTTAAGTAATTTAACTAAAACCTGTAATTTAACTAAGCAGAAAGTAACATAATATATAATGCACAATAATATGAAATATAAGCCCTTTCTACTCAGTATTTCAATAAAAAATATAGCAAAGGACAGACATAAGAATGGTTTATTCCCTTTTAAGAGGAAAATACAGAAAAAGAGCATCCTAACAGATACATATACTTCTCTAATAGTCAAATAAAATTTTATGTTAGTTAGTTTGTAGGGGGTCACCTGGGTCTACATTCCAGCAAGATCTGAGGAAGGATGAATACACATAAATTTGTAGGTTCAAAAAGAAGACTGTTTATCATGCTTGTTAAGTAGCAAATAGGCACTTTCTAGTAAGGTATCATAGTCTAGTGGTTTAAATAATCACCAAAACGATAGTTATCTTAATTCTTCTAAAGCCAAAATGTAATTTCCAACAAAGAGCACAACATAAGGTAATTTAACTTGGTAATTCTGCTGCACACATCATCTCGTTCTTTTTGTGTGACCCAGTCTCAGTAATAAATAAGCTACCATAGGCTGGAATGAACAGCTTGTCTCAATAAATCCATCACAAGCAAGATAAACAAAAATACACATTTATCATCCAATACTTAAAGCATGCTTCTATGGTTCTGCAGTTCAAGAGGGCTTTAAGAAGGCGGCTCTCGTAGAATCATACTTTCCCCCAGGATCCATCAGCCAATTAAGTAGCATCAGTGGTCAGTTGGTGGCTTAGAAAGCAGGGTCTATGACGAGGGTCTCTTTGAACAAGTCGGGGGGTAGAAATAATACTTTGACAGAGCAGAAGTTGCAAGAATAATAATATAACAAACATTACTTGCCTTCCAGACCCCAATTTTCCTTTCATGTTTCTGTAGTAAGAGTTCCTCAGCTACATCTCTCATCTGTACCTAGAAGCAAAACCAATTATTTTTTCCCAGTTATCCAGAGTGTCTCCATTTTTATCATCGTTTACTAATTTAAGAGCTTTTAAAAATGAGGTAAAGGTCAGTATGGATAAGAGATGGTGCAGTTTAGGAGAAAGAGGATCTGATTTAGCAAAGGAACCCCTTCCTAGGTGCCTGGGTGAGTCACTCAAATTCTCTGAACAGTTTCCCCATCTGCAAAGTGAAGATAATAATACCTAAGTGCATCGCCCCAAATGTGAATAAAAGTTTCACTTTGGGTTACATGGAAATTGAAGCTGGAGAGACAATGAGGACTTCCTAGATTTTTGTGCTATTTTTCTAGCCACAGCTAATTTTAGAACACAAAAGTTATTCAAGACATGGAGGAAATACAGTTAGATATTTCTTGAGGGTATTGCCTGTTCACATTATTTTCTCCTGGGAACCACTCTGCCAAATCTGTGCTATGTGAATGTACCTCCCTGTACACAGCAGATAGACCCAGGCACTGACCTAGAGAGACCAGGTCCTGGATCATGGCTTCTGAGTCTTTTTTATAGTCACAGCTGTCCGGGAACTTTTGTTGGATTTCCAGGGCTGTCCCGGACCCTGGCTTTTTTAGAGCTTGGGTGCCAATTCTTCCCCTTCATGTGTGAGATGTTCCAGCACTATTTTAGGATAAATTTTCTCCCGTCTCTTTTGCCTTTGGCTTCAGGTTGCTAGAATCAGTTTATGTTGTTGGCCACCCAAAGAATGCTAACTCAGGAAATGGCCATAAGTTATAATAAAGTTATTATGGCAAACATAGTGAGAAAATGTGGTAAATAATATTAGTGAGCCAAACCCTGAAGGAAGGAAATGAGGAAATATGAGTTGTCCCAAAGCTTATTTCCAGGAACTTTTTCCCTAACACAAGACAGCTCTTCTATAAATTCTATGCTCCCAGTTGTATTGTGTTTTCCATAACTTAAGGTGCTCAGAAGACTAAGGATATTTCCAGATAATAAGGCTCCAAGTATTTGAAAAATTGAATATGGGGGTGATTTCTTTTTTATGTTTACTTTATTTATTTTTGAGAGGGTAGGGAGAGATGAGAGAAAGAGAGAGATGGAGAGGGAGAATCACAAGCAGACTCCATGCCCAGCATGGAGCCCCATATGGGGCTCAATCACATGACTGCAAGATCATGACCTGAGCTGATACCAAGAGTTGAATGCTCTGGCTGACCCACCCAGGCACTCCGAGGGCAGTTTTTTAAGATTCCTTCTGATCAATACTAACGGTATGTGTTTTGCATACTACAGTCCAAAATCACATGCCCCTTGTGTTAATTTATACAGATCAGGTTTGCCTGTTTTAGGTGTGATAATGACAATTTAAATAACCAAAGTAACATGTGCTTTTTTTATAAAGTAAAAACAAAGTAAAAGTAAAAAAAAAAAACACCCCACTTTACAAAGTAAAAAGTAAAAACCTTCTTACTTCCCCAAACCATTCCCAGGAGGCAGATCCTTTTAGATCTTTTTTCATAAACACAAACATAGGTAGATAGATAAGTAGGCAGATAGAAATGCAGATAGATAAAAAGAAAGAAAAAGAAATACATAAATAGACAGACACAGAGATATAAGTACATGTAATGGATCATCTTCTATGTACTGTTCTGCATCTTACTTATTTCACTCAGTGAATAACATCTATCATATCAGTACATGGAAATCTCATTTTTATACTCCCATTTTATATAGAAATCTGCATAGTACAGAATTATCATAATTCATTTATTTGTTCCCCCTTATATATCCTTGCCCATTTATATGAGGACTTAATAATAATATAAAATAACTATAATAATAACTAATATCTGAGTGTTTGCTGTGTGCCAGGTACCATGCTAAGAAACTAAACATAATTATTTCATCTTCACAACTATCTCATGAAGCAATTGCTCTTATTAACCCCAATTATTTCTCAAATGAGGAAACTAAGATTATAAAACTTGAAGTTGTAGGGGTGCCTGGCTGACCTAGTCAGTAGAACATGATCTTATTGATGATCTTGATCTTGATCTTATTGTCATGAGTTCGAGCCCCACCTTGGGTATAGAGATTACTTAAAATTAGAATAGCATAGCATAGCATAGAATGGAATAAATTAAACCTACTTTAAAAAGCAAACCTTAAAGTTGTACAATTAAGAATGAGGCTAAAACTTAGGAAGGCTGACTCTATGATCTTAACCATTATGCCACTGAAGTACAATGGCTGGGTTGACAGGTATACACATTTGATGTTTTTAGAGGTATTGTCAATTGCTACCCAAAGATTACAATCACTCATATACCTTTATTTTCTGACGTGCTGCAAACTGTTCACTTGCAAGAAATAATGGCAACCATACATTTTCTAGCTTATTTAGTACATGCTTCTGAATTTCAATTAGAACAGGCGCATCAAGCTGGTCATGGAGCATCTTTCCCCAGCCACCACTTAAATTCATTATCTAAGAAGATAAAAAATGAAACAGAAACTGCAGTTGTATGTTTTAGTGAAGAAACACTAATGGTCATTAATTTATGAATCCACCCCCAAACCATCTGCCGAGCAGCCGAAAAACAGCACCATTTTCATTTTCCATAAGATTATCTCCTGGCTATACCGTATATACTAAAGACTGATAACTCCCCTGACATCAAACAGAAAATTGTGGTTTATGTGATGGTTCTTGTAGATGTCTGATTTTGCTCATGATATATTTCAGACAACACAGGAGTGGGATTTTTATCCTGTATGACCACAAACAATGCCATCTTTTCCCCGTGGCCTCAGTATCTTCAAATTGAAATGAGGGTATTTATTAGTCTGTGAGTTTTCTAAGTGCTCTTCCAGGTCTAATATTCTATGAATCTATGATTCTGTTCCAAATTGACTAATTTGAGAAAGCATTTTCTTTTGTGCATGAGGAAAATGGGGCATGAATTAGTTAGGAGACATCCTCCACTCAGATATTACCAACATGTACAAACAAACATTGGATTGGAGATGGTGGTAGCAGTGCAGGGCTGCCCCAACACCTTGGAAGAGGAACAAAGAGGCAGCAGGAAGGAGAGAAAGATCAGGTTATACAGACAACAGTCTCTGACCTGCACAGGCAGCACAATTGCAAAACACAATTTCTTTGTGGCCCAAATCTCCCTTCTGCATAAGTACTGCTTTCAACAAGCTACGGATGGCCATTTTTTGCTATAAATATTAGTTATTTTTTCTCTTCTTTTTTTTTTTAAATAGTTATTTTTTCTATTTGTTTCTGTGTACACAGCCCTCAGACCTCCTGGACCCCTTAATGAAAACAATGACCTCCTTCTTCGTTCCTTTTTGCTTAATAAAATCTATCAAATCCCACTAATAAAAGTATTTGTAACACAAAAATAAAAGAGAAATCCTCTTGGACATCTTTTAGTAATACTGATTTTATATAAAAAAGGAAGAAAAAAGAAAAAGAAAAGATGACTTTGCTAATCAAAGAGGAAACGTGGCCACCCAGTGGAAATTAGGGCTAGCAAGACCTACACAAATGTAATGTGATGAGGATATCCTTAGGCATAAAGTAAGTAAACAAAAATAAAGCAAAAGATGAGGAAGAAAGTTCACGGGGGAAACTCCTCTGTAGTCTACACAGCGATGGATAACCTTCTCCACTGAATTTTAAATTCTCAGCATCTTATACCATGGAGGATTCACACAGTAGCATCATATACCATGAAACCTCACACAATGTATCACAAGCCAAACAGAAAAGAAATGCCTCCATGTGTTTATTTCATACTTGTGCTTATGGAGATACTCAACTACATTTGCCAACGTATACCAGATTTGTATCTCAGGGAACTAACAGCAAGGCATTTTTGTCAAGGTTGATTAACTTCAGATTCCCTTCTCCCCCTTATTCCCAAAAACTTTTGCTTATTTTCCCCCCAAAGGACCTAGCTTTTTAATCTGGTATGCCCTACTGTGAACACATCCGAATTTTTCTTACATTTACTGAATTTAGCATTAATTTGAGATATGTACTTCGTAAATATATGCCACTAGGATATGCATCCTTTTAAATTACCAAAATAAAGATATCAAATGTTATACATTTGATCTCCAGGTAGTAACATAGTACCAGTGAACTTCAAAATAATTATAACACTTAATTCTTTATATTTCAAAAGCATAAAACTTGAGCCATATTTCATGTGATCAAAGTGTTATATGGATACTCAGTCCCACTGCTGAATCTCAATCTGACATTTTTGCCATAAATAATGGCACCAGAGAGTATGCTAAAGACATACAGCAAGAATTACAATAATAATATAGTAGATAATGACACCATATATCACAGGCACTCATATCTGAATGAATGTGTAAATGGATGAATAAGGTATTTTTATTCTATAATTACTTTTTAAAATAGCACAGTTTTTATAGTATATAATGCTTGAGTGAATTTTAAAGGCCTTTAATTTGTTGGTAATTATAAATAACTTAAAAAGTAAGATATCCAAAGTGTCTAACATATGAATCATAAAAGCAAAAGACAAAAATGATGAATTTTAGATTGCTGGCAAAAAGAAATAAATTACTGGTTTTCATACTTCAACAAAGAAAATATGTTTATATGTTGATACCTGGTCCTGCTGATATAGAGAAGCTGGACTTTGGGGGCCAAAGAAATATTTTTTATTAAGGTATTTGTTTTTAATATATATAGATTTTGCTTCCCTTTGCTTTCGGTCTCCATAAACTATTCTTCGGAACTGCTCAATGTCTGTCCAGCACATAAGATCCACACTAAAATGAAAACAAAACCAAAGTACAGCCCTTATTTTTTTTCTCTCAATTTTACTAACCACCAAACAAGTTTTTGTTCTGACAGAACTTAGAAAGTGATTGTCTTGACTAGTTAGCAGAGCCAATTAGATCATGAAACTAATGAGTTCAATGTTATTAGGTCTCATCCTAGCTAAATATATGAATGAACACAGGCATACGGGGATCAGAAAATCATCTACCACCATTATGGGTAGGGTCTGAGTTCCTTCATTACTGATAGATTAGTATTGTTGATATCTAATCTGGGAAAATCTTCACCCAACGCATGTCTGTTTGGCAACATGCTAAATTTAAAACAATTCTAACATTAAGAAAGGAAACTATATATGTGAAATTTGGCTCCCAGGTATAAACATTTTCTCTTAACTTGGGAGAAAATTACTGGAAAAATACATGATGAATATTTCAGTTTATAGTAGATAAATATGGCATAAGATTCCAAGATTCTGTGCAAAACTACAATGTTTATGTATTAATAAAAATTATGAAGTATTACAGTAATTTCAATCGCTTAGAAAAATATGAAAATATGAAAGGTACACTTTTTAAGAAAGACTAATTAAAGCACCTGTCTAGAAAAATACAAAAGAAAGAAATAGTAGAAAAGTGAAAGAATTAAATATATTGGTGTCTTAATTTATCCAATGCTGAAACTATTAAAATCTTGTCCAGTGACTTAAAATAACATTTGGGAGGTTGCTATTATCAAAATGCACTCCCAAACAAAAAGTTACCTATACAGATTTCAGATAGGTATGCTCATCACTTTTTACTGTCATGGATAAAATCTAGTACCAAATCACTTTTATATGTTGAATGAAAGTAAGTAGCTTAGAAAAATGGTGCTTTAAGAGAGAAATACATTTCTAAATGGTTATTTTCCTTACCTTGAAGAATGAGCTTCAAGAAACTGACGGAAATGTTCAAACTCCAGTTTGTTATTAAGCAGATCATTAAAACTGAAGTGCCTATATTCTTCAGGAACATTATTCCAGTATTCTGTTCTTTTACAGGCATCAGGAAGTGGTGAAATACCAGTTCCAACCTCATAAGTAGTGTCCTAGTGAAATAATACTTTCCATTAAAAAAATCTCTTACATACAACAAATTATTTTCCAAATTTAAAAATAGAAACTGAAATAAAGGTGGACTATTAGGCCAACACCATCTAACAATTCAATGGTGAAATTAGATAAAGAATCTAGAATCTGGCTGTAACTTGCAACAAATTCTATTCTTCTGTTCCTTTCTCTTCCATTCTCTTCTTTCCAGGAACATTTAGAAAACATTTACTATATATTTACTTATAAAATATTAATTTTATTATTTTTCTTAGTACAAGAGTAATACATCTTTTGTAATAAGAAAGCAAAAGCATACATAATACTACCATTCAAAGATAATAACTGATAACATTTGTAAATACAAATCTTCTAGTCATTTTTGCATACACACACGTGGCTCATTAAAAACGAAGATAGGACCATACAACCGTGTATAGTGTTGTAACGTGGTTCTTTTTCTTAACAATACATTATGAATACAAAGTGTTCTTTTATTTATAACAGTTTTGAAAGTTATAGAGTAATGCAAAATATTTTTCTAATAGTACGTTCTTTAAATGTAACCTTTTCATATAAAAGTTAATTATTAGGAATTTTTAAAAATTTTTTTAATGTTTTATTTATTTCTAGGAGAGAGAGAGAGAGAGACAGTGTGAGCAAGGGAGGGTCAGAGAGAGAGGGAGTCAGGGACTCTGAAATAGGCTCCAGGCTCTGAGCTGGCAGTCAGCACAGAGCCCGACATGGGGCTCGAACCCACGAACCGCGAGATCATGACCTAAGCGAAAGTAGGACGCTTAACCGACTAAGCCACACAGGCGCCCCAATTATTAGGAATTTTTAAGACCTGATGTTTTGCAAACAGTTTATAAGCTGTATATAAGAGCAAAGAGCTAGAGAGGCTTATTCTTTGAAAAACCTTTCCTCTCCTTATATAATTCATTTATCTCTCTGTTTCTTTTTGAAAAGCATCAGACCATGAGAGAAACTACCAATATTTAAAAAAATCAATTACCAATGAAGAGAAGGATTTTGGGAAGTATTATACATTTTAGTTCATAAAGTTTAAAAAGCAACTTAAAATACAACGAAAATGCTACATTTTAGTTCATGAAGTTTAAAATACAAACTTAAAATACAACCTTATGAGTGTTTTCATTCATAAACTTTAAAATAATAATAAAATGCACTACTTTTTGGGGTTTTATGTAGCCTTTCCAAGATATTAATTAGAAGTTTCTCAAATAAAGAAATTTGTGTTAAAAAGGCAACTATGATAAAGGTTACATTTAAAAACCACTCTACTATTTGTGTAAAATTTTATTGTAAAAGACTAAAAATTGCAGAGAGGTACAAAGGAGAAAGTAAAAATATCACCTGAAACCTTACTGCTCAGAGTTAACCATCTGTAACATTTGGTGAAATCTCAGATATTTCTAGATATCCCTCTTTGCACACATGTACACATGTAGAAATACACATATAATTTTAGATAAACAGGATTATAATAATATCAGTGTTTTTGGTTCTTTATATTTTTATATAATAATGTGTCCTAGGCATTTTTCACATCAATAAAATATGAACTGTCATCTTTATGCAGGTACATACATTTAATTTTAGGACTTTCAGAATCTATCATGGTTTATGTAGGCAATCCAAAAATCTCAAACTTATCAACCAAAATAAGACTTTAATATCCTAATCAATCCTATGATCTTTTTACTGACTACCCCAAATCCTTCCCATCTTTTTTCCATTATTATTTTGCCTATTGCTGTCACATAAAAGTTCCTTTTCTGTTTGGAAAACTCAATTAAACTTTTTTTTTTTAATTGACAACAAACAGAGCTGCTGGCATACAGAAAGCGATCAGAAATGTGCACAGGAATAATGTGGTTTAAAGGCTCTTAACTGAGGCAGGCATCTGCTTTGTCTTTTGGCTTTGTTGTTAAATGTGTCAATAAAAAGTGATACCTGTCAAATGCAGCAAGTTAGGTGAAGAAGTAGCAGAAAAATGGAAGTGCCTATCCCTTACTTGACCAGAACACGATCTCCTCAATATACTATCTTCCGCCCCTTGCCAATATACACATTGTGGTGATCCTTCCCAGGATAAAAAGTTTGTTTTTTCTAAGTAGAGAGTTGTCTTACCTCAGCTTTCTTGGAAAATGTCTCTTTATGCAAAGCCTGTAGCTTTCTGAAGTATGTGGAGTCTAGCTGTCGAGTTTCTTCCACCAGCTCCACCTAATAAAACAATAATAAAGCTTGTAACATCAATAGAATGTGCATTATGAAAAAGTGGGGAAAGAATGCACGACTTGCAATAACAGTGGACTAAAAAATGAATATACTTGCCAATAAAGTAAATTAGTCTGGAGGCAAAGGCAGGAAAACCAACATAAAAATAGCTACAACATATTCAGACTTTGCGTGCATGCGATAAAATATTTCTGTGTAATGATATAGTGACACCAGAGATCGTTCCTCCTTCCTGATCACCACACGTGAACTGACAAACACTGCACACCTGTTGGGTCACATTTACATTTTCTATTCATTATAACAGGATAATAGTCATGAAGGCAGGCATTGCTAGTTTTCGGGACCAAATAATCCACAGTAGAACAAGAAGTGACCAGGCTCCATTATTACTAGTCTGCAAGCTAAGGTTCTGTTGCTGTAGCAATAGAGGAGAGTCATTTATCAAATTAACCTCACGGTAGGTCTCATCCTACAGAGTGTGCACTGCACTGTATTATATAGACAGGAGAACAAGCTCGTTCTCCATTTCTCTTCCAGGGAAAAATCAGTTTGGCGGACGGAGAACTTTCTATATTTAATACCTAGCTTTGGTAGTCACCTTGATGATCTTTTTTGCAAAACAGCCTACAAAATCCAGTCAGGTGAACTTTTACAGATGTCCTCTGGTCTGCATTTAAGGACATTTTAAATTTCTTATTAAAAAGAGTGTATGGGGGACCTGGGTGGCTCAGTTGGCTAAGTGTCTGACTTTGGCTCAGGTCATGATCTCATAGTCTGTGGGTCTGAGCCCCACATGGGGCTCTGTGCTGACAGTGAGGAGCCTGGTTGGGATTCTCACTCTCCCTACCCCTCCCTGACTCATGTCTCTCTCTAAATAAACTTAAAAAAAAAAAAAAAAGAGTGTACAGTTTGTCCCACATATTTATAAGAATCGTTACCGATGCCAAAACCTTTTTGGTTTAGTGCAGTTAGTTTTAATGCCAAATCTTTTTTTTTTTTTTTTTTTTTTTTTTTTAACATCTCAGGAGCTATCTCAGGTCCATCTTCCTCTACACCAGACACTGTATTTAAAATAATGACCGGAGGGGCACGTGGATGGCATAAAGTTAAGTGTCTGACTCTTAATCTCAGCTCAGGTCATGATTTCACAGTTTGTGAGTTCGAACCCCACATCAGGCTCTGCACTGGTGATGCCTGCTTAGGATCCTGTTCTCCTTCTCCTTGCCTCTATGCCGCTTGTGCTATCTCTCTCTCTCTCTCAAAATAAATAAACTTAAAAATTTTTTAAATAAAAAATAAAATGACAGGAGATAATTTTTAAAATTTCATATGATATCCTAATTTTTCTAGTGTAATAGATGTATTTTAGTAGTAAAAAAGATGTAACACTAATTTTTCAGAACAAAGAGAAATCAGGAATGAAAATTTAATTGTTTTGGTCATTGAATTTAGTAAGCCATAGAACTGCTTAGTCAAATCCAATAAGGTAATTCTATCTGAGGTGTTTTGGTATTAATTTTATCTTAATTTACCTAACCTATTCTTTCTGGTAGAAGATACGATTAAAAAGTTGTTGAGGAGACATGAACAAAGAATAGCAATACGACAGCAGCAGAGTTCTACTGGAAATGACCTCATGTACAGGGTACATGCATCAACTTAATATAAAAGATACCTATTAATGGGTGTGATCTGTGGTTTAAAATAAATATTTAAAGAAATGTCCTCCACTGATCAATAAGAATAGTGAAAACATTCAGGCACTGAGACTTAAAATGACTTCTGCTGTAATTTAAAAAGATGTGTTAATACTTTTTATCTAATCAAGCAGTCTGATCAGATGACCATCTGGGGATACCTTAAAATAGCAACACTGAAGTTGGAAAATGTGTTTTCCACAATACTATGAAACATTTCTATTTTCCATGGGTGCGATATTTACTATAACCCATCCAGTATAAAATTAAGGGGGCTTTTAAAAAAAAAAAATTAAGGGGGCTTTTTCCGTGAATCAAAATCAAGGTCACTGCTGAGAAATGGCAAGGGACAAAGCCAGTAACATTACTATGACATATTTTTTGGTTCACAGGAAACCAAACTCAGATTTCTCTCTGCCGACATATTTGTATGGAGAACTAAAAAATGATAAAGATTTTAGACTTCTGTTAGGACACAATAGAGAAACTGGCAAAAAAAAAAAAAAAAAGTTAACAAATACTTTCCCTGCTCTGATATTGAGACTGTCAAATCTTAATTAACTCTGAGTCCCTGGTCCATGTAAGACCTTTCTCAGTTTTTCCCTTGTGAATTAATAATGCTGCTTATGATCAGTTTTGTAGTAAACCTGAACGCCTCACACACAGTTTCTTAGTGCCACGATACCTTTCTAAAAGCAACTTGGTCTAATTTTACCATCTCTGTCCAGGGCTCAAGAAGGAGGAGAAGGATATATTCTTCTGCTGTGTCAAAAAGGTCTTCAAATGGTGGCTGTATTCTCATATAAATTTCTTTTTTCTTCTCCTGTTGGAGTCCAATGTCAAGAGTGGCCGAAGGAGCAATGTATGTGGCAAAAAGATACTAAGGGAGAAGGGGGAGAAAGGAGAGGATGTTGGGAGAAACCATAATGGTTAGCGGGTTCCTCAGCAAAGGCATTTTAAAAGGGTAAGAGAAGAGAAACAAGCCCAAGTTATTTTTTTTTCCTTGAAAAAAAGCATAAAACTATATAAGTCAAAGCAATCTGTTTATTCAAAAGACTTTTCTTTCCTTTTCCTATTTCTTCAATGGTAATTAATCAATTTGCCAGTGGATCTTACACAAGAGTATATCATTTAGATAGCCAATACTTTTTATCAGATTACTACTTTGTATTATTATGATTGATTCCAGGTTATATGTCTCCTTTTCCCCTTACATTCACAATATTTCTAACACATTAGTGCTACTTTCCAAAATGGTTTGAAATGCCCTTTTGGACGCAAGAGGCAAGAAACAAGGGCTGAAAAATTGTCTATCGGTCTTCCAGTATAGGGACCCAACAAACTACCTGTCCTACCCAAATGAGTTGTAGGCTTCTTAAGACTGTTGCTAAGTAACCCTTTATGCTGTAAAATTATCTCCACCTGGTGTCAAATGCTGTGGAAGAGATACAAGAAGGAAGTAAGAATGAATAGAAAGATACACATGGAATTTCCACCTTCCTAGAAAACTCACTAATATCCATTCCATTCTACTCACTTTTCTTTTCTCTAAATAACAGCTATTTACATCTCAGAAGTAATTTAATAACATTTTATTTTTTAATGTTACATACTGAATATGTCATACCCTGCATATTAGATTTAAATGTAGTTTTACTAACAATGTCAAATTAATTGCATGTAATTTAATTTATTACTTAATTTTTGGTTCTGATAATGTCAAGATTCAACCCAGGCAATAGATCAGAGAGAGAGAGAGGGAGAGAGAGAGAGAGATTCATACTAAATACTAAATAATAGTCTTACATAAAATAATCTTTTAAAAGTTTTAAAGGGTTCACACTAATAACAAGCATTTACTGAATATCTACTACATTTTAGATACTGGTTAGGTGCTATGTATGCAAAGATTAATGATTAAGACCCAATACCTGCTCTGAAGGACCGACTGGTGGTGACATGGAGATGAAAATCATTAGTTGCGATACAGTGTAAGTACTACCATAGAAGTATGCATGGCAGATAAGAACATCAACGATTGCTCGTCCATTCTGTTTGAACTCACACCCCATTAATCACCTTTTAAATGTCACAATCAAATACCAATTCTTCTGTTAGTTTCCTAAACCTTGCTGTTTTGCCATTCCATACCATTGCATATATTGTTCCATCAATCTTGGATATTCACCTTACCGTGTGCACCTTGTCCACTTGATAAACCCTGATTTATTCTTTAAACACCAACATAGATTTTTCCCCCTCCAAGAAGCCTTCACTCACACCCTCCACCCAAGATCATTTTCTATTGCTATGCCTACCACACCATAATGCAGTTATGTATTATGTATCTTCTCTTCTAGAATGAAGATCTTGAGGGCAAATACCACAGCTTTTCCTTTTGTCATTCTCCAATTCCTAGAACTGTTCTTGGCAGAGAGTAGATGCTGTAAATGCTTATTGAATTGCACTAAATCCATAGAAAAGACTCATTTATATCTTGGAATGGGAAAGAAAAAGGTTCAGAAAACTTTCCAAGAAAAGATAAGCTTCTCTTATCCTTAATCCTTCAGGGGAATCTTTAAAGATGAGTTGGAGTCAATCAGGCAAGAAAAGGGAGTTGATGAGAAAGATGGTTTAATAAGGAAAATATGGGCCAAGGCATTAAGGCTTAGGGAGGCTTATAATCTATGGAGAGATTCTAGACTCCAAGTGGATAACACTGGCCAATGGAAAGAGGTAGAATAAGAGAGGATACTATAAAGGGAGGCAGGAGCCAAGGCATGGATATGACCTTTTGTCCCTTGGTAAGGAATTTTTACCTAAAGATATATAATGAGGGCTCTCTGAGGAGTGACATCATTGGTTATGAATCTTAGAAATAAATTACCATGGCATCAGGAAAGAGAAACAGTTTGAACATGTCAAGATTTGAGGTAGTTTGGAAATTATTTCAATAGCCAGATAAGAAATGATATGCCACCTTCATCTCTTGCTTACTTTTTGCAAAAGCCTCTTAACTAGTCTTCAAAGGTTCCTCTTTGCTTTCTTAGTGTTCTCTTATGAATGCAAATAGAGAAGTCTGTTTGCCTATCACTCTTCTGCTCAACTCTTCAGTGACTTCTCATCTCTCACAGAGTAACAGTCAAAGTCCTTATAACTACCTATAACTGGAGTTTTTGAAAGTTTCTCATTACTGAGGAGACAATGATTATAGTTCAGGATCTGCTAGCAGGGGAGCCTCTGTAAATACCCTAGGGTCCCAAAACACCCTAAGAACAGGACTAGATGAGGTATAGATTCTAGCCTCGAGTCTTTAAAGTGCCAAACAAAAATAACTGCTAACCTGCAATTTTGTACTCAGCAAAAATATCCTGATAAAATGAAAACAAAGATGTCATAAATCAATAAACAGAAGCAGACAATTCATCACCAGCAGACCTGTACTATGCATGTAAAATAAACAAAAGCAAGAGCAGGATGGAATAGAGAGCAATAGAATTGCATAAATATGTAAGTAAATATCAATAAATGTTTATTGTAAAACATAATAACAATGAATAAGGTCAGAGGAAATAGTAAAAGAGCCTAAGAAAGAAAGGTCAGAATTGAACAGGCAGGTTAAGATACAATTGAAATGACCTACCATAAGGCCTACTACAGGATAGTAATACAATATGCAAGGCAGAGTTTCAAAGAACTAGAGTAAATGGGGCTCCTGGCTGGCTTAGTTGGTAAAGCACTCGACTCTTGATCTCAGGGTCATGAGTTCAAGCCCCACGCTGGGTGTAGAGCTTACTAAAAAGAGTAAAGCTAAGGGAGAAGGACATGTAGAGAGCAGTTAAAAGGGAGTACTATAAAGTTCAATACATAATAAGTCACTCAATCAATAAATATTTGCTAAATGGATGAATGGAAGACTAGTGGCCTCAACTGAAATGATGACCTGAAAGGGGAATTTTCAGAGTCAAAAAATTTAAAGCTCAAGTAGTTCTAAATTGTGATGAATTCCAACATACGGAAGAAATGGAAGATACTAGAAGAAATGGAGATAGACAATGGAATTGGGTAAGTTAAAAAACACTGTAGCATATATGTTATAAGGGTTACTTGTGTGAATATTGAGAAAGCTTCATATGATAAAAAGGTAGAGAGAAATTTCATGAGTCATGCACTGAAGCTTTATAAAAATGTAAAGAGAGCTTACAAGATCTTTAGACAGCATTAATGAGGTTTAGGAGAGGGGAAGTTAGTAGATGGAGCAGACTTAAAACTTTTTGAAGTATTAAAAGATGAGACTTGAACAGCAACAGGGAACTTCTCTTTATTCCTAAGTGTCGTGAAATGTGAGAGAAGGGGCATATTGAAGAGACATTTTGGGTGTTCCATTTACTTAGGCGATTCATGGGTTTGAAACTTCCTTCCCTAAAACAAAGGTACATAGTCCATTGGGCAGAATAGTCCAATTTGAACCACACTCTTACCAAATGATGATATGATATTTAAAATGAAATCTGCTTTACATGCACACAATTTTTTTTGTAACTTTGAGAGTTATATATTTTTTAAACTTTTTATTTGAATTCCAGTTAGTTAACATACAGTATTAGTTTCAGGTATACAATATAGGGATGCAACACTTACATACAATACCCAGTGCTCATTACAAGGAGTAAACTCCTTAATTACCTAGTTCACCCATCCCCTCACCCATCTCCTCTTTGGTAACCACCAGTTTGTTCTCTTTAGTTACAAGTTTGTTTCTTAGTGTGCCTCTATTTTTTCCCTATGCTTGTTTGTTTTGTTTCTTTAATTCCTCACATGAGTGAAATCATAAGATATTTATCTTTCTCTGACTGACTTAGCATAATACTCTCTAGCTCCATCCACATCATTGCACATAGCAAGATTTCATTTTTTTTAATGGCCAAATAATATTTCATTGTGAATATGTACCACATTTTCTTCATCCATTCATTAGTTGATGGACACTTTGGCTGTAGAAAAATAACCTATAAATCTAAATAGTCTAAGAAGTTAGGTTTGTATCAGATTCACATCTATTCTTAAACATTTTCTAAGTTAGAGGTTATAAAAGTGCACTAATTAAAATGTCATACTAAGGCAAATTTAAAGACTAAAATAGTCAAATTAACAACATGAAAAATGTCTCTAGAATTTGCCTCAATAATTTCAAATTTACCTCAAAGGAGAAGAAATTTCACTCCCCAAACCACTTAAGTTAAAAACCAATGGTTAGGGAGTGCCTGGGTGGCTCAGTCGGTTAAGTGTTCAATTTTGGCTCAGGTCATGATCTCATGGTTCATGGGTTTGAGCCCCACATCAGGCTCTGTGCTGACAGCTCAGGGTCTGGAGCCTGCTTCAGATTCTGTTTCCCTCAGTTTTTTGCCCCTCCCCCTCTCTCCCTCTTTCTTAAAATAAATAATAAATATTTTTAAAAAAAAATTTTAAAAACCCAGTGGTCAGGTTTTATTTGGACAGGAATGGCTTCTAATGGCAAAAATAAAGCAACTGCGTAGTCACTGTGTCAGCTACATTGAAAGTATAGTCTAAAGAAACATTTGACATGCCACATACCAAACTCTTTGTGTAGAAATCAGGATGGTTTCTTTGATTTAAAAACATAACAACAGTGAAGACGGTAAAGCACAAAAGAAGTTGGTGATGACTAGAGTAACACTAATAGAAATGACAGTCACCTTCTGGTGCACACCTGAATCTATTCTTTCCCCTTTCACTCCGAATCTTGCTTTCACTTTTTTTTTTTTTCTCCTGTTTGTCTTTTAAGATTTGCTGCTACCCACAGTCTCATGAGAGACTCTAAATGCTACTTACATTGTCTACCATTATACCTTGGTGGAC